CCCCTCTCTTTCTCTTTCTTCACCCTCTCTTTCCCTCGGTATGCTTAATATTTACCCAAAAGGTCTTCTCAAGTAGTCTCAAACATTTTGTTGCTGTGATCACCACAAAAGACAGCTGAAGTATGGCATTTCAAATGTCATTGTACAATAAGCAAGGTTTCCACAAAAAGTAAATACAATGATCTTCACGTGAAGATGGGAAACATTATATTCTCTGTACATGGACGATTTTGCCCTTGTCTACGTGGCTTCTGCTATTTTGCCTTTAATGCCCCGTTCAGTTGCCTCCATACCGCTGTCCAGGGCATCATGAGCGGTCTTTTTGGCGGCATCTTTGGCGTTGGCAAGAGCTTTGTCGCCAATGTCCCCCGCAACATCACCAACTGTTGAAACATTCAGTAGAGGGGGAAATGGTTTCGATTTAGATTTAGTAAGAGTAAGAATTTCACGGCAGCTCTTATATAAATAGGTCGTACAAAAGCCGAAGAGTATATGTGCTATCAAACAGCAAGGCATCAGTGGTTAGGCTACTGGACTCGTAATCGTGAGGTTGCGGGTTCGGGGGTTCGAGCCTCAGCTCGGTCCGACGTTGTGTCCTTGGGAAAGGCACTTTACACGAACTTTCCACTTGGCTCGGTCCTATCGGAGACGGACGTTAAACTAGGAGGTCCCGCCCCTTAAATAACCAAATAGTGTTGATAGGGGGCGTTAAACCTATACCATTTCACAATTTCAAAAGAAAAAGAAAAAAATGAGGAGCGATAAGCACGATAGGTGTTTGATATAAAGTTGCTGTTAAAGGAATTTTAAAAACCCAACAAAACTCAACAAAAATAAAATAGGTTTGAATACTGCACATATTTTGACCTTGATACACTTGTAGGAGTAGACGGGGGTTCAGTAAGGGAGGAGGGAGCAGGGGTGTCATTGACTGAGCAAGACATTATTAGTCTTCTTTAAGTTGGGATTTGAATCCCAGTTTGCCGACAACCATCTTAGAGGTGTCTATTATTTTTTCGGGGCCATGCTTTGAAAGTAGGAGCTCATCTTAAAGTATTCAGACAAGAATAAAATACATCTATTTCACACGATCTAGAAAGAAAACGACAAAGTTGAACTGTTCTTTTTCTCTTTTAGATACAGTTAAAGTGTCTTTCTTTATACTATGCCACATCACATTGTCGTCTATTTCAGTGAGCAGGGAGGCTGAACATACACAAATGTGTTGGTAATCTAAATAAAGTGGGATCAGTCCCCTCACGAGTAGCCTGCAGACCAGAGTTCGATTCTGGTTAAGGGAAAATTTTTATCGAGAATCTCGCTCGGGCTTTCTGCAGGAATGTTATACCCCTCTCAGCCCTGGTTGGCTTCGACAGGCAGGGTCGGAAGCCCGTCTCCCAAACAATCGAAACTGTGTCGATGGGAGCATTAAAATAAGTACATTTAGAACTAGAAGGAGAAATTGATCAGAAAAAAAAAGACTTACGTCCATCTCCTAGTGAGCTCGGACTGCAACCCATGTCTGTATGTCGGTCTTTGCGACGATTTGGCTGTGCTGCTCAGTCTGGACACACGCCAACATAAGGTGGAAAAAAATTAAGATGAAGGATCAAATTGTTTTAGTAAGAGGTTGTTTTTTTCCTAGGCACCTCATATTATTATAGGAGCTGCAGATAGAAAATGTTACAACAACATGGTTTTACCCC